ACACACAACAACAACAACAACACACAACAACAACAACAACACACAACAACACACAACAACACACAACAACACACAACAACACACAACAACACACAACAACACACAACAACACACAACAACACACAACAACACACAACAACACACAACAACACACAACAACACACAACAACACACAACAACACACAACAACACACAACAACACACAACAACACACAACAACACACAACAACACACAACAACACACAACAACACACAACAACACACAACAACACACAACAACACACAACAGGACAACAACAACAACACCATCAACAGCAGCAGCAACAACAGCAACAACAACAGCAACAACAACAACAACAACACGAACACGAACAATACCAACACCAACAACACGACCAACAACACCAACACCACCAACACCACCAACAAACCCAACCACACCAACAACACTAACAACACTAACAACACCAGAAACACTACCACCATCAACAACACCAACAACACCAATACCAACAACACCAACAACACCAACACCACCAGCACCACCAACACCACCAACACCACAACCACCACCAACCCCAACCACATCGCCGAAGCCTTTCAGTCGCTTTTACCAGCCTCCCCTTCATATTTTTGGAAAGAAAATGGCCGCGTCGCTTTTACCAGACTCCACTTTATGTATTTTTCCCTCCCCTCTCCCCTTCATTTTTTCTTCGGTTCCTTTCTTGCTTACCTACCTTTCGTGTTCCCCCTCTCAAGTTACACTCAATCCATGAATGGAACTCTAGCGTCCTGTAAACGTTTACCCACCATTTGCAAATCAGGTCGTCAAACCACCCTGGAGACCTCGGGAGCATGGAGTCGTCAAAGCACGCTGGAAGTACCCAGTGTCCACGTGATGCCACCGGCACCTGCGGCAACGGCGCCTGTGGCGCCTGCGGCTTCAACGGCTGCGGCCACGGTGGTCCCGGTCCCAGCAGCGTCGGAGAAGAGCGGTCCTGGGCTGAAGGTGGCTGAGTCCTAAGGGCGGCTGGATCATATGGTGGATTTTCCAGGTCATGTTGGGTGGTACCCCCGGTTCTTGGATGTTGGTTGATAACAAACAGAGTAGTATTGTTCATGTAGCTACCCCCCAAAAAAAATAAACATAAAATGCAAAATGAGATCTATATATTTAACCTAGTTACAAAACACTGTGAGTTTCTCTGAAAGTAGGGCAACCCTCGAGTCGGTATTAAGATTATTAAGATATCTACTTCGGATAATTTCCCATTTTCAGACAAACCAAAACATGATGTGGCAGGTTATAACAGTATTAATATCACTAATAATTATAAAATATATTCCATCAAATATTTGAACGCTACGTTAAAAGACGGCTAGTGCATTCTTATGGGTTGAATAGCCCCAAAGAAATATATCCCTAATATATGACCAGGCCAGAACTGCCAGATCCGATGGCGGTCCGGTTTCGTTAGGTGCCAGGAGAAGACCCGCATCTACACGAAGTGCTTCAGGTGAAGAATACGTTCATCCAGACGCCTGACGCCAATAATTTGTTACGTAAACTTATCTGGTTGGTGGCTGGTTTGGAACATTTTTTATTTTTCCATATATTGGGAAGAATCATCCCAACTGACTAATATTTTTCAGAGGGGTTCAAACCACCAACCAGGATTTGTTAAGTAAACTTACGTTTTTTTTCCAGGAAAATCGGTTGCAAATTGATGTAAAAAACGTCGTGATGTGAGTTTTTTTCTACAGGGTACCCTCCGGATTCCTCCGGTCATTGGTTACATGTGGTTACGTAACGAAGAATTGCCACTTCCATGACGAGACATGATTCCCAGGAGAAAAAATCACCCGTTGCTGCCTGGGATTTGATATGATAGATGATTTGGGCAGGAGGTTATGTAGCTACCATGTGCTACCTATTTCCTTGAAGCATAATAACATTTATATCTTTGCCAATGTGAGAATTTGCATTGGCCAACTAGTACTTGGGGGCTTTCGAATAGGCTGATGTCGAATACCCAACAGTCTTGTGTGCAAAAGCAGTTGCTGAAACGACGATGCCAGGAACTCTATACGTCCCCAACACCGTGAGTTGTTCCGTGATATTTGGGCAAAGTTTCTACAATGAACTGTGCATAATGAAATCTAGATATCGCAAAATTTCAAACCTGGGAGGTTTTGCCAACAAATTACAATAATATTGCCCTGTTGTTGGTTGCATACTTCTTCTTCAATCTGCAGAGTCTCCATGTAACGTCTATATCATGAACCTGGAATCCTCTCAACCCCGTGGTGGTTGCACATGTTGTGTATGTTCAACATGCTTCAACCCCATGATCTCAGACCACCAGCCGCAGAGCGCCGCGCTTCTCAGGATAGATTCACAAGATCAGAAGGAGATCAGCCGAAGCCATTCAGTGCCACATTTTTGATGCCCGCGAGCCGGACAATGTGGGACAAATGAGCGCCACGTGACAAACTCTGCAAAAACTTACCGTTGAGATGCATAAAATAGGATGGCCAGGGATAGCAGAAAAAGCAACCCTCACTGTAAACAAAATATGGTTTGTTGGAGGGAAACTGCTCAGGGTCCGTAAATCTCCTGCGCCTATTATTATGGTAGATTCCATTGGTACCCGGCGCCCGTCTACATCTCTTGGCATGGCACTGATTGGGACATGGGATGCATCCGCTGTGGGGATTGGCCGTTGCTGGTGCTCATTTGGACCATGCGCGTTAGGGGCAGCGGCTGCGCGGTGACGTTCTGGAACGCCGTTCCGAACTCATTGCTGCGCCAGTTTCCGGATTCTTCAGACTTTTCGGACCATGTTTTAGCATTTTTTAAGACCAAAATCCCAGGGAAAAGTTGGGATACAATGAAGAGATAGTGTAGTGAAGATATATTATCCGGCCAAGTGTGGGTCCCAGTGTGGGTTTTCCCAATAATTTTGGGAATGTTTATTGTATTTGATTGTTATATTTGATACGGGACACGCCACGGAGGATAGGCCTAATCCATGGGAACGCTAGGCTTTTGATCGAGCATCATATTGGATTAATCATGGTTAATATATGTTAATATTGACTATCCGGTGGTTTGGACAATGATGCTGCTGATGATGATTTGATATATCAGATGTGCAGTAACGTATATATCATAATATTATAATTATATGATTACAATTATCATTAATCTCATTACTAGTCTATATATATATATATTACATGTTGCTATCCATGGGCCATGTGGTGAGGGATCTAAAGGAGCCACGCGGGGATGCCCACCTGCTGAGAAAAGGTTCCCATTTTGACACAGGCCCTGGCATGGTCTTTGGTTCTTTGATTCAACGTGACTTAGAATAATATGAAGCAATTGTACACATAGATGTTCTTTGGCCATCTTTGGCCCACATTTGCATAATGTGGCCCACAACCTCCCAGTTCTGTTGGTTTCTCAAGCCCATCGAATTATTAGAGAGAAACTGTAAATCCAAAAGGGCAAAGCCGGGAGTGTGGCGTCGCAGATTTGTCCGCATGGAGGGCACAGACAAAAACCGTAAAACCTAATTAGTTTAAGTTATAAACGGAGGGGTATTTTTTTTTTGCATTTTTTTTTTGGCTTCTGGCTTTTGGCTTTTGGCTTCTGGCTTTTGGCTTTTGGCTTCTGGCTCCTTCGGTTTCTGGCTTCTGGCTTGTATTTGCTGCATTTTGGAGCCAAAATCTCTGATTTGCGTGCTACTTGCTGCAGTTTGGAGCCAATTTGCATGCCCATTTGGCTTTTGGCTTTTGGCTTTGGCTTCACTTGACTCTTGGCTTTTCGTTTTTGGTTTTTGTTTTTTGTTGTTTTTTTGGCTTTGGTTTCACTTGGCTTTTGGCTTTTGGCCGCACTTCTGTTGAATGTATGTGTAGCATTGTAGTTTGCATAATATAACATTTCATAATTTCATAGAATGCACTGCATATAAATTGCATGTAAACTGCACAGAAACTACAGTCGTAATATGAGCTTATATGCATGCTGTTGTGAGAGGAATTGAGACCTACTTTCAACAAGTGTCCCAACTACTTGCTGTTCCTAAAGTTCTTAAGACCCTATTTCAAGACACTTGTTGAACTGTTGTTCTCCAACTATATTTGCTTGAATTGTGTCTCACAATGGTTGCATGGCAGTCAGAAGTTTCCCGGTGTACCTTTGAGTTTATATGCATGCTTATCGGAGAGAAACTGCAACCTTTTTCAACATCAAGTGTCCTAACGAGCTCTTTTTTTTATGTCTGAAAAAAGTATCTCAGGACACTTGTTGAATCTGGCCTCCTACTATATCTATGCGAGTTGATGTGTGTGAAACCCTAAAGAGACCCTAAATGACACCCTAAACGAACCCTAAAGAAACTATAAATGAAAACCTAAAGAAACACTAAATGACACCCTAAAGAAACCCTAAATGAAACATATTTTTTTGCATTGTTGCCTTCATTTTTCCACGAGGTGCAAGTCGCATAGGACGCATTGCGGGGGGCGCTGCGCCCTCCCCCCCCCCCCACCCCTTTTTTTTAAATTAACCTGACCCTCCCCTTGCGACGACAACCACAACAACCACAACAACCACAACAACCACAACAACCAGAACCACAACCAGCACCACAACCGCAACAATTATTCAAAGATAGATAGATCGATAGACAGAGGAATAACTGCGATAGAAATAGAACAACAACAGCAACAACAACAACAACATTAACGACAACAACAACGACAACAACAACAACAAGAAGAACAACAAGAACAAAGTAACAAGACCCATATACTCAAAAATTATTGAAAAGAGCCCTCCTTCCGCGCCCCCCACCCGTTTTTTTTTTTTAATTCCGACCCTCCCCTTGCTAGGAAGTCGACGACGACGACAACCACACCCACAACCACAACCACAACCACAACCACAACAATCACAACCACAGCCACGACCACCACCACAACAACAACAAGAACAACAATAACAACAAGAACAACAATAACAACAAGAACAACAACAACAAGAACAATAACAATAATAACAACAACAACAACGTTGACAACAACAACACCAACAACAACAACAACAACAAGAACAACAACAACAAGAACAAGAACAAGAACAAGAACAACAACAAAAACAACAACAACAACAACAACAAGAACAAGAACAAGAACAAGAAGAACAAAAAGAACGCGAAGAACAACAAGAACAACAAGAACAACAAAAGCAACAAGAACAACAGTAACAACAGTAACAAAGAACAAACAACAACAACACCAAGTCTAAAATCATGCAAAAGAGGGAAAACTAATGAGTAGGACGGAAAAATCGATGAACAACGCTAGAAAAGCAACGACAAATATAGAAAAACATAGAAAAACAATGCGAAAGCGAAGAAAAACAAGAAAAACCATCGAAAAAACTGAGGGAAACGCTAGAATTTTTTTGAAAACTATGGAAAACCGATGGAACGCGTTAGAAAATCCTAGAGAACTATGGAAAATGGAGGAAAAACGCTTGAAAACTAGCGAAAACAATTGGAAAATTGATGAAAACTGCTGGAAAAACAATGAAAAAGCAACCCAACCCGAACAACAAAAAAAAATGCCAACTTAATTCCGCGCCTGTAGTAAACTAAAGCCAACAAGAAGAGCTCTCATAGTAGTACAAAGTGACTCTCAGGGAGTTGCTTGAGGCAAGATCCCTTGCCACGCGAGACAAGTCAAAAATTGGGAATGGGATGTGGTCACCATAAAGGATGACATCCTGGGTGTGATGGACTGATGCCTCAATTCATTGTCCCCTCCCCTTCAAAGCCGGCTGCAACGGCTGCAACCCGTGGCCTAATTTTCCAATGGATCCCATTGATTGCTTCGCCATTGAGACGAGAATACGCATTTCTTGTTTGAGAATCAACTATTGTAAGAGGATAAATCATGGGTATGGAATGATGGGTTGTTTTTTCCAGACTTTTCGGGTTTGTTTGGAAACTATGTTCAATAGTGACAGCCGATAGCAATCATAACAACAAAATTTAAAATCTAACAAGCCAGATCAATTCAATTTTCAATAAATGTTGATGGAATCCGCGATTGGTTCACGCTTGATCCGCGATTATTCAACCTACCTGAATAGGCCCTGGCTGACGTGGTAACTGTGATATGTTGCCATGTCTTGATTATTATGTCCGTATGAATTGACAATGTTGGGATATGTATTCCCATAACATGTGATATATGTGTCGGCAATGAATTGACACCGTTGGGATCGAGGTTGATTTGCGGTTGATCGGCGATTTAAGCTACCCCAGATACCTTTATTTTGGTCAACACCCATATATGATATCATATGATCATATTTATCCATATGCCCATATGCATATATATGCATATATATAATATACATCATATGAGATCTCCCAACTTTTCTCACTCAAACATTTGCCATGGTGTTAGGAAAGTCTCATCACTTTCCCCAAAAGGACATGGCCATCGTGTCACGTCACGGAAGAATCCCAAGCTTCGCGAACGCCCGCGTTCGCCGGTTTCAAGTGACCATGGGACTCTGGGACCAGCCTGGATCCAGGATGAAACTGGCCATAGCTTGTGGATGATTTTCATGATTTATGTGGGTAAAAAAAAACTTTAGATGAGTTGAAGCCGTTTAAGCTGATTGATGATAAAACTTTTCTTTGGCACCAGTTTTGAGCCCTGCAATCGTGTATCTAGATGCTGCCGCAAGAGTTTTGCATGGACGACTGACCAGCTTGAAGTCTGCAGTTTTGTCGGAAAGCGGATTGCAGCGTTCGATGAGGAATTTACCAGGGCAAATCTTCCATTTTTAGGTGATTTTGAAGATGGAATTTAAGCAGGTAAATCACCTGAAAAGTATCTAATTATTGGAGACAAAAGATCTCCCCAATAGCTGGGTAATGCGAAAAATCAGGACATTTACCAACCCCTGTTTGCTCCCCATGTGGGCCCTCCAGTTACATTACAAGTTGGATATAATTATCAGTAAATGGGTATAGCCCTTGAAGGCGTGAAAAAATATGTAAGATGTTTGGATATAACCCTGGAAACTATGGCGTTTGATACTCAGGTATTGGGAAGTGGAACCGCAAGACAACACTCAGCGTTGCTGGTACTGGTACCAGCATGAAATGATGCAGGTGCTTCTAATTCGAGAACAGCAGGGGTCGTTGCGCACTTTACTTATTTTCCCATCATCCAAATTTGGAGAATCTATACTGTACGGAATGTCTTTTTTGTTCAGGCCATCAGCAAATCTCATGTGTTTCGGGCGTGTCAATCTTTGAGCAGCGAAATTTCGTTGCTGACTCTTGGGATTCCGTCCCTAACTCGCGAATTACCGAAACCTTTCTTTACTGCCTGACTAAGTCTTAGTATGCCTTAGTACCTTAGCACTTTTCTTTACAAGAGACACTTTGCAGAAGGGTACTATCCCCA